AGGATAGAATCCTAGTCAGAGAGGCCCGTGTGTGCAAAGGCCCTGGGGTGGGAAAGAGCTTGTGGGTGTGTGAAACCCTAAACACGGGCTGGCTGGGGCCATGAGCCAAGGGTGTAGGAGGCCTGAGGAGGTTGCAGAGTGACTAGTGGCCTGCTGTTCACCATCAGTCTACAGTGAGTCTGTCCGATGATATGTTCTCAGTGTTTGAGCTATTCTGGTATTGATGTGAATGGCTGAGCTTCTGTGTTCTGGAGTAACCAGGTGCAAGAGGCTGGATTAACTCATAGTGGCCTGGGCAGGACCCCCTTCTGCCATGCAGACAGTTGTTTTTTTCTCAACCTCCGTGGAAATGGGAGTGGGGCACCAAAAGAAGAGATGTTTAGGGAGAGAATGAGTCCCCCCCCCCACCCTATCTAAAAAGCTTCCGAGCCTCCCCTGGCTTTTGGGGGAATGTGTCACTTGTGTCTTCTTCCATGCCCGCATTTTCTCTGCATAGTGTTCATTGGATGGAAGGGTTGGCCCCCGAGCACCTGGAGTCTGAGACTCCTCATTGCATCCATCACTCTTCAGGCTGTTTCTTAAATTAAAGCTACAGATTGAATCCTCCTCCTCCTCATCATTTTTCCTTCTTTTTAAAATCTGTGCCAATTCCTAATTTATTGTGGGTGGCATGGAGGGAATTCTCTAGACTTCATTTGGTCCTGCTTCCCATTTCAGAGGCTCCCTCTTGTATATCCTGTGTCCCCAGCTAAACCTTCCCCCAACCCATCAGGGCAGGATGTGAACTCTTCCTTACTTTCTTTTTTCTTTTTTTTTTTTTTTTTTAAGATTTTATTTATTTATTTGAGAGAGAGAGTGAGCACAAGCGGAGGGGGATGGGGGGACAGGGGCAGAGAGAGAAACAGACTCCCCACTGAGCCGGGAGCTCGATGCGGGGCTTGATCCCAGGACCCTGAGATCATGCCGTGAGCCAGCTGAGCCACCCAGGTGTCCCTGAGCTCTTCATTACAACCACTTTGTGGCTGAATAGAACCCTCCCTCTTTGGTTTGAGCCTCTCAGTACCCATTTTAAGTGTTTCTGTAAATTAATTTTTTCCCTCCCCCCCCGATCTTTAAATTTTTGTCCCCCCCCCAACTCTGAAAAGAGTGTGGTATGTAAGGGGTATTTGTCCCCACGAGTGTGCAGAAGGGAAACTGAGGCCCAAACAGCCGTGTGGGGCAGTGGGAAGAGTCTGGCCATGCCTGGTGGCTTGCTGGCTGCAGATCTTTGAAACGGCACACAGCTTCCCAGGGCTGTGTCCTCCTTGGTTGCCTGGGAAAGAGATAATAAGATTTCTGTCCTCGTGGGGCATTGTGGTGCTGGAGTAAAGAGGAAGGGCTTCCGGGCTTCCGGGCTTCAGGGTCTGGCTCCAGCGCTCAATTCTGTGGTCTTGGGCAAGTCGGCAGGCCTCAGTTTCCTCCTTGTTAGATTGTGATACCCACAGTGACTCAGCAGGATTATTGTCAATATCAGAGGCAATTGCTGGGAAGTCCCAGCACCATGCCTAGTCTGTGGTAGGATGCGGTAGCTGGCCCATTTCCTCTACCTTCGGGGACTCCGCTATTTGTCCTGAGGAACCCACCCACCATGGGTGGGACCCCAGAGTTCCTGAGTGAGGCTCCTCGTCAGTCCCCGGAGGGACATCTGGATTTCTCAGATGCACTTGAGCCTGGGGCAGATGAGGTGTGACTCAGTGCGGAGAGTGGGACTTCCGGCTGCGGACTCTGAGCAAGGTGGCCGGGGACCATTGAGGGTACACACCAAGAAACCATGAGTCACCAGGATACCTGGCCACTGAGGGGTAACCCCTGAGTCCTTACAAAGCTCCCCTACGGCCCCAGTAGTGCCTGGGAGATCATTTCATGGATTCCTTTTGAGTTTCACAGGGAGGGAGGGCTGTGGCTGTCCCTGTCCCCTGCTCACTGGGGTGCAGTGATGGTCATGCTGCCCCTTATTCGGGGGCTTTTGGGAGCCAGGCAGTGTGCTTCTTGCTGATCTCCTTGAGACCCATGCAAGGAGGTACAGCTAACCCCATTTCAACAGAAGAACAGGGGCCAAATGGCCAGTGAGGGATGGAGTCATATTTGAACCCAGGCCTGCTAGGTCCCAAAGCTCATGTTCCATGCCTGAAATCGTATGACTCTTCTTAAAGGAGCGCCCCCTACCCTGCAGGATGCTTCTCCAGAAATAATCTTAATAATGGAATGCTCATTCTCATTCCAAAACCCACAGACTCACTCTCTTATCAATGCTGATCAGCTAATCTTTTACTACCGGCCAAATTGAATTTAACCAAGTCACCACTGCTGTAAAGAAAATAGGTAAGAAAACTTGGCCAAAAACTTGGTCTAAAATTGGAGGGAGAGTGAGGTAGCCCCTATTTTGGATTCTTTGTGCCAGCTTAGGTGAGAGAAAATTGTGCCATATGTGTGTATGTATGCACCTTCTGCTCCTGGCTTGCCATAAGTAACTTCCTGGGCACTTTGGAAAAACCTGCACAACTTTCGTGCTTTCCTTGAATACCACAGTGACTGAAGTGTGGTGTGAGGCCAAGAACCGATCTGGTCCTTATTACAAGCCTCCTTTCGTAACTAGAATGTGCCTTGCTCCTTCTCATCACAGGACCTTTGCACAGGCCATTCATTGTGCTGGCAACACCTTTTCTCTCTCGTTCCTCTCCTGTCCTCTCTGTTTTGCTTCACTAATGTACTCTTAGGGCTCTGATTAAAGACCAGTTCATTCTGAAAACGCCACTGACCCTTTTCCGTGGTGAGTCTACCCCCATCACGCCTTCTTAAAGCAGTAACCATACTTCTTTAGAGCACATCACTGTCACAGTTACTTCTCATTGTTTCTCCCTCTAGACTATAAGCTCCGTGAAGGCAGGGACCACTGTGGTCTCACCTGTTCTCTGCCTAGTACCTACCATCACTCAGTCATCACTGCATGGATGAATGGATGGTTGGAGAGACGGATCGAGCTAGTTACTGACTTCCTCTCCCTTAACTCCCAGCCAGTGTGTGCGGTTTTTGTTTTTGTTTTTTTAGCAGGGTAGGGAGGTTGTAAATACCTGCTTCCATGTCTGTCTTGGGCCGCCTTGAAGGAGCACCCGTGTTGAGGACCCTGGAGGCCAGCCTAGCACCTGACTTACGGTAGAGGACCAGTCACGTTTGGCTCTCTGGTTGCCTCGCATAGCTCTCGCCCCTGAGACAGTCAGCTGCAAGGACTCAGGCTGTGGCTGGGACCTTGCTGAGAGATGGCACAGGCCTTTAGTCATGGAAACCGAGGAAGTGCGTCCCTGCTTCCCACCCCACACCGCAGTTTAGCTTCTTGCTAATGTCTTCTACGTGGCTTGCCAGTTACTATATTGACTTATTTGTACATAAACAGCTATTGCCATAACCTTCTCTTCCCCACCATTCAGAGATAATGATATGCAATCTTTATAACATCACAGACATCGGTTCAGAAGCATTCTGTCGCTATAAGCCTCTATCTGATGTGCTTCTCGCTAGAATTTCATGAGCTTCAAACTCCCAAATTGCAGATGATTTAGCATTTGAAGCACGGAGTGAGACTATATGAGTGTTTGAGTTTAAAAAAAAAAAAAAGGACTTAGAAAGGGGGAAGTTTTTCTTCTGTGGAGTTATCTTCTAAAGTTTAAAATAGGAACTACTTAAAAGCTCAGAATTTAGAGGAATGAACACTTTCTCTTAAACATTCAAATGGGTGAAAATGACTTGTAATCTCTCCCTCAAGTATTAAGGCAATAGGCATTTAAAAGGTGTTTTTTTTTTTAATTTTTTTTGTGGGGGGGGAGCTGGCTGTCACAGAAAAGGAGTTCTCAATTAAAAAAAAAAATTTTATGGCATTAAATGATAGGAATGAACACCAGCAGCCCTCCTGACATCTCGGAACTGATTTTTCTACAATGTCCCAGTCTGTTTTAACAGATAACACTTTGTCCTTCCTGGTCGCAGTGGTAGCTTTGGCTGGGGTTGCCAGAGTTAGGGCTGGGAAATTCTGAGCAGGTTTCATGAGCCCCATACTCTGTAACCTGAGCCCAGCAAGTCCACTGGCTCTACCCAGACGCTTTCCCCAAAGCCCCTGCCGTGGCCCTCCCTCCAGGAGAAAGACTCTGATCTGTAGTCCAGGGAGTGAATTTGGCATCAACCACACTGGTAGCCACCCTCTCGAGAGATCAGCCAGACATCCTGGGAAAGCCTAACTCTCTGTGAACTTCTACGGATGCGACCCAACTGCGGTTTGCGTAATGGCGCTGGCCGCAAATTGCTCACCAGTCCATGAGACGAGTATAGAAATGGTGAGGAAGCGCTTAGAAACTTCCATCCTGACTGGACAGAGTGATCTGTTGAGTCAGATCATCGAAGAGGTGGTGCTTTGTATGAGCATTTTTTCATTTCGTTTGTCCACCAGCTCATTTTCATTATCTTTTATAAAAAGAGTTACCTGTGATGGGTTGGAAATTAAAACACAGAGACAACTCCTTTCCTTCCTGCCAACTTCTTTGGGAAGGCCTGTGGGTAGCGCTTGTGAGCTGCCTCTGCTCCCCTGTGGGACAGGTAGGCTGCTGAATGAATTTGGGGAAATCACAGCACTTACCAAATTATATTGTAATGAAACATGTGCATGTCTCCCTCCCTCCCTCCCTTCTCTCTCTCTCTCTCTCTCTCTCTCTCTCTCTCTGACTGTTTCTTGAGAGCAGGGAGTGCATCTAATCCATCTTTTTAGCCTCATTCCCCAGATCCCTGCATGGCACATTGCAGGGCGTGGGAAATGTTTGTCCCATCCATGCCTGTCTGCTCCCCGAGGACATGAGAGTGGGTGAGGCCAGCCTCAGGAACTCCCTGGGCTTTCAGATAGGATCCCCTCCAGGCTGGTAATGGAGAGCCAGGAGCAGACATTGAAGGAGTGACCTTTCCTGCTCTTGCCCCCGCAGAACCAGGCCTCCTCTTCCCACCTGCCCAGCAGCATGAGAGCAGCATGACTGCCCGGCCGCAGGAGAAGCCCCCAGAGCCAGGCCCCCAACTCAACCATCAGCTGCAGAGGTCAAGGTAAGCTTGCTTGCCTTTCTCCTGGAAGGTTCAGGCATTTTTATTTTAATTAATTCTCTGTGCTTCTGTGATCTCGCACTGTGTTCTGAAAGAACGTTCCTCTACCACCTCCTGAATCTGGGACCTTCGGCATATCTTTTAGAGATTGTATATCCAGGCAATTTGGGGTGAAGGACTCCCTGGAAAGAATGGGATTTGAAGGACAGTTAGTCTGTGATGTGGGACTCCCCGGACAGACTCCTGTCCCACACAGGGTTGTAAGGGGTCTTAAAGGATTAGCCAGGCCAATTCCTAACCAAAGTTGAGCAGTGAATTACTAGAAAATTCTTCCTAATTTGGAAGCAACTCTTTTTCTCTGGGATTCCTGTCTGCCCTTCTCTGCTCTGCCTTATGGAACCACAAAGACTGGGCTTTCAAAATCTCTTCCACGTGACTCTCTCTTCAAATGGGAAGATGGCGGTCATGACTCTGCTTTTCTTGTTGGTATTCGTTCTCCCTGGAGACTGGCCCCACTCTCTTGTGGGCCCCCTTGTCCCTCTCCATGTTGGAAAGGACTCCCATGCTCACTCAGCCTCTGCCAGCCTCCGCAGAGAACCTCTACTGACCATTCTTTGGTCAGGACATCTTAAGAACCCCCTTTGTGATAGTCATTGCACTAGACTCGAGGTACATCAAGACAAAACAAGTTTGGATCCTCAGAGAGAGTTAGAAAGAAACATAACTCCTTCGGCGTGTTCCCTTTTCATATTTTATCTCCTTTCAACTTTTTTTCTCAAATGTTCCATGAGCACTCGAAAAAAAGCTGTATTCTCTTATTGTTGGATATAGTTTTCTGTATAGGCTGGTCAAAATGAATTCATTCATTGTATGGTGCAAATCATCTATAGTATGTCCTTTTCTGTTTTTGTCTGATTAACCTATCAATTATTGAGAGAAATGTGTTAAAAATCTCCCACTGGGTTTGTCAGTTTTATATATTTTAAGGCAATACTATTGGGTATCTCGATGTTTAGAATCAGTGTATATTACTGGTGAGTTGAGATAGATTTCTACCACCTTTATAGACTTGCAGCTTTTTCTGATGTTTCTTCTAGACTGAGCTGTTTTCCCCCCCTCGTTCCATTTTCCATCTTCTTATTTAGAAGTTCTACACTCTCTGTCTGTTCTTGCAATGGTTACTCGGGCTTTTGTAGCTGGGATACTCACCAAAGTCCAAAATTCATCAGGGTCTTTACCTTCATGAAACATCACTGTTTCATACAGTAAGTGTTCATACAGATGTACCCACATACTTACCATTATCTTTTCTTATTCTTTTATGAATCTCGGATAGTTTTCCTCTGCTTATTTAGCATTAGCTTTTAGTGAGAGTCTGGTGGTGTTAAACTCCCAAGTGTTTTTCCTGGTCTGGTTTGGTTTGGTTTTCGGCTTTTGTTGGCTTGAAAATGTGTTTATTTTTTTCTCCGTCTTGAAAGATGGCTTTAATGAATATATTCTCTTAAGTCACTAAAGCCATTATGTCACTGCTTCTGGCTTTGAAATTGCTGTTGAGAAGTTGGCTGTCAGTCCAGCTGCTGTTCTCTGTAAGTGACCTGGTATTTCTCTCTGGCTCTGTTAAAAACATTGTTTTCAGGGCACCGGGTGGTTCAGTCAGTGAAGCATCTGCCTTCAGCTCAGTTCATGATCCCAGGATCCTGGGATCAAATCCCACATTGGGCTCCCTGCTCAGCGGGGAGTCTGCTTCTCCCTCTCCCACTCCCCCTGCTTGTTCTCTCTCTATCTCTCTCAAAGAAATAAATAAAACCTTTAACAACAGCAACAACAACACATTGTTTTCTTTGGTGTTCTGCAGCTTCCATTACCACGTAACTAGGTATAAGTTTTTCTGTCTTCATTCTTCTTGGGTTTTGTAGGGATTCCTAGAGCTAAAGATGGGTGTCTTTCAACAGTCCTAGAAATTTCCCACCCTTCATTTCTTTGAATATTGCCTCTTTTTCATTCTCTCTAGTATCTTCTTCTGGAACTCCTGTTAGACTTATGTTAGACCTTCTCATTCTATTCTGTTTAGCTCTCAACCTCTGTTTCATCTTTTTCATCTCTTTGTCTCTCTGGGCTGACCTCTGAATAATTTCCTCAAATCTGCCTTCCATTCAACTCACATATTTGGGGTCTCAAATGCTCTTTAATCCCCCACTGATTACATCCATTTTCCTTTTGGTTGTTTTATTTATTGTTTCTGAAAGTTCTGGCTCATTATTTTTCTGCTTGTTGATTTTTTTCTAGTCTCTTATTTCTTGCTCATATTTGCAAACTTCTTTTTTTATTTTTTTTAACCTGTTGAATTAGCTATTTAGAAATTGTAAACTCTCATGTCTGGTAATTCCAAATTCTGAAATCCCTAGAGGTCCAGTTCTGCTGTCTCTTGTGTCTGCTGCCTAGTAATCATGGTGTCTTGTTTCCTGCAAGCTGCTTATTTTCCTTAAAACTTTGAGAATTATTTGAGGTATTCATTGACATCGACTTTTCCAGAGAGAATTTATATTCATTTCTGCTAATTGTTTGGGGTCACTAGCAACCAAAAATCACTTCAAATTAATTTTCTACTTAAGCTTTCTCTGGCTATGTAAGAAGCATTAATTCAAACTCTAAACCTGTGTGAGCTCTAGCTTTTGGTTACATATTTTCAGGAGAGGGGTGCCAGGACTCAGTCAGTTAAGTGTCTGACTCTTGATTTTGACTCAGGTCATGATCTCGGGGTCACATGAGATAAAGCCCCATGCTCAGCACAGAGTCTGCTTGAGATTCTCTCCCTCTCCCTCTGCCCCCTCCCCTCATGCACTCTCTCTCTCTCTCTCTCTCTCAAAGCAAAGGGGTGCCTGGGTGGCTCAGTCAGTTAAGCCACTGACTCTTGATTTCTGCTCAGATCATGATCTCAGAGTTGTGAGATGGAGCCCTACGTCAGCTCCACACTAGGGGTAGAGCTTGCTTGGGATTCTCTCTCTCCCTCCCCTCTGCCCCTCCCCCTCTCTCTCTGAAAAAGGAAAAAAAGAGGAAAAAAAAAGAAAAAACACACACACACAGATTTTCAGGAGAGATTTGTCTCCCTTTCCACTAGCCCAAAGTCAGATTTCTTTGCAGTCTCCTTCTGTGATGTGCACTTATTTCTCATTCATTGAGTGTGGAGCCCCAACTTTATGGAGGAATGAGGTTTTTTTCTCCTATGTCCTGAACACTGTGCAGCTCTCACGACAAACATAGAATCTCTAGGGTTTGACAGGAACCCTCAGGGCAAAAGTCAGATTTGCTGCTAGCTCACCTCCCAGGGTTCCTGCTTTGGCTTTGTGTTTGGTCTTTTGAAGAATCCTTGCATTGATATGAGCTCAGTGATGTGTATACAATATGTATATTCTAAATTTTGTCCAGCATGTTAGTTGTTTCAATTGGGAAAGTCAAGTAGGGTTATCTGGTCTGCCATATTGCCTGAAAGTATCTTCTTTCTTCTTCACCATAGCTCCGTACAGTAGAAATTTCTAGTCCTTATCACAGAAGAGTGAACCAGAGCTCAGAGAGGGCACGTAACTGGCTGCAGCCCTAGGGCTAGCAGGTGACACACTATAAAGAGTGTGTCTCCACCTGTCCCCCTTTTCCCACTTTCCCTCTCCCCAAAGTAACTGTTGACCGTTTGGGGTGGATGAACTTTATGCTTACAAAGGATATGAGTCCCTAGCAGAATGCTTTAAATAGCTGGACAGCTTTGTAAAATTTGTTTATGAATCTATTGTTTATCTTCCCTTGAGAGAGGAAATGGCTTCTGCATATTTTGTGGCCTATTTCTCTAGCGGGCACCAGCAACTTTCCTGCTCCATTCCACTGCTCAAAGGCCTGCTGGACCCAGTGCCAGACCCCATATGCACCTCCTCCAGATCCCAACTTCCTCGCCTCCGCATGCTACTCTCTATTCCCCACTTTCCTCCCTTCCCTTTCCCCCACCCCCGTCCTTTCTGCTCTTGGTTTTTCTGCCTCCTAGAGTGTGCCGTTCATTGGAGGGGAGGCCACAAGCACCGTGGTTAGGTTTTTTTGAGCTTTGGGGGCAGGGAGAGGAGCTGAGTTTGAACCTCGCTCTGCTACGTACTAGCTCAGTGTCTCTGAACTTCAGTTTCTTTATCTGTACCATGGGGACAATAGGCAGAACTATTTAAGGACTAAATAAGACAATGCTCAGTGGGTTGAGCATCCAACACTTGATTTCAGCTCAGGTTATCAGCTCAGGGTGGTGAGATTAACCCCCACATCAGGCTCCACACTTGGTGCGGAGTCTGTTTGAGATTCTCTCTCTCCCTCTGCCCCTCCCCCATGCATGCACATGCCCTGTCTCTCTCTCTCTCAAATAATAAATAAATTTTTTAGAAAGACAATGTACATAGAGCTTGTGACAGGAGTTTGGAGCCTTACAGCACTCAGTCAATAATAGCCAGTATTGTTATGACTAAGACACACCCTTCAAGCCCCAAGCTTTTGTTCAGTGATGCTATTAAGTTGACAAGAGCTGGTTTGTGAACCACAATGAAAATGGAGGCAGAAATCTAGGGGCAGTGTGGGATTCCCAGCTTCACTATTATGTACTTCAAACTGGGGGTGTTTTAAAAGGCAGTTTGAGGGAAAACAGAGCACACCCGTCTGGCCAGTATTTGCAGAGGATATAAACTGTGGGCTCTAGAAATGGGGTACTCTAGAATCTCAGCCCTCCCTCTAAGCCATGCCCTCTGATGACACTACTCACTGGGGACTTTTCCCTTGTGGAGCGCCCCCCCCCCAAGGTCAAGGATGGCACAACCACCCTGCCAGATACATGTCCAGTGGGGGTGAGAGAGGTAGTCCTCACGGTCCATTTTACTTTCGTTCTTATAGCTGATGTTCACTTTATTTCACACACTCCCTTCTATTATGTGGCTTTATATCATGCTCAGATTTGTATCACTCCCTGATTTGATATCTATGAA